GTGCTTTAGGCAGTATATACATTGCAAGCAACATGAACAAATTCACACAGGGGAGAAGCCGTATACATGCAAGTATTGTAAAAAGTGTTTTAGAAAGTCAACAGATTGCAAGCGACATGAACGAATTCACACAGGAGAGAAGCCGTATACATGCAAGCATTGCAGAAAGTGCTTTAGCCAGTCATCGCATTGCAAACAACATGAACGAAATCACGAAGAGTTTAGCCTTGCAAGCATTGTAAAAAGTTGTTTAGCCAGTCATTAGTTTACAACTGAGCAACATGAATGAACCAAAGGTCTATAAGTTGCTCTCGCGTACATGCAAACATTGTAAAAAGTGCTTTAGCGGCTCATCAAGTTGGAAGCGACATGAACTTGTAGCCATGTAGCCACTCATAAGATTGCAAGGAACATGAATGAACCAACTCAAAGGTCTAAAAGTTGCCCTTAATTTTCTATACTAGTCGTTTTTAGTTTTTATTTTGATCTCTCGGCAAAATGGTTGTTTTCATCAAGTTAAGCCTTCTCAAATTATAATACTCAAATTATAATACTCAAATTGCCAGGAATAAAGCTGCTTGCAACTTTTCATAGAGCCACTTGGAAAAAGAAATAATTTTTTGATTCTTAACCAACTTTGCGTGGAGGCATTTTAATTAATTACCTGGCTATAAATAATCTAATCCAAGAACAAAGTTATTGTTCTAAAGTCAATAGCCGTCAGTGATATAGAGAAACTCTGAAAAAGTTTTGATACATCGCTCTAACATTGAAAGTACAGGATTTATTTAATTACAAAACATGTATGGGAACGCTATTCAGGGCAAATTCTAGTAAAGAAAGTTTTCGAATTAGTCCAACGTGTTTCTTGGAAACAAGGATGTGGATCTGGGATCTTTTAAAAAATATGTTTTGCTTCTGTTGCACACATTTATTTTAAAATAAATATTTCATGAATCCACGTAGGATACCGGAAGATCATAACAAACTTGGCGCTAAGCTCGGGGGTACTCTCATATGAAAACTCGTCTCCCTCATGGGCATGAATGAAGGTTTCTGCTCTCACTTTGGGTGTTCATGAAAAAACGCCACAAAGTTTAGTTGTCAAATTATCTTTTAGGATGCACTGGAAGAAAAGATAATAACAGAAACGGTGTTATTTGTGTTTTTGGGCTCGATCTCGAGTTTGGTCCTGGTAATCCAAAGTTGATTAAACATGGATAACACTCATAATGAAGCTATTACAAGATTTGAATACCAATTAGCAGAAGATGCTTTTTCACGTTAGCGGTCATGCATGTCAGTACACTGCAAAATTGAAGAACGTCAAGTGTTGAGCTTTAACTTTTATTATGGAGCATTTGCTACCTTATGAAAAGAAAATGTCAAATGCTTGTCCCATACCCGGCGAGACGGGCGGGAATGACAGAATTGAAATTGACAGAATTGACACAGAGATAATGGGCCCGGCGTGTGGGGGAAGTCCGCCGTATGGGCTATATAGGTATGCGCGGCCCCGAAGCGCAGGGTTTTTCAGCCGTTTTAGTCATAAATAGCGTATCGATTTCGGCGAGTTTTAGTCATAAATAGGGTCACAACAGTGAAGCAAGGCTGATTACTACGTGTAAAGCTTAACGAGACAACAACACGGTAGAGTCCAAACTGAAAGCCAAGAATTGCAACCGTGGACAGCTGTTTCGACCTGGTTGGGTCTCGTCAGCACGGTGTAGCATGCAGCAAAAAGTTAAGCAAAAGCTGGCTGACCGATCGTCCACTAAATGCACATGATGGTAAGTAATGACCTCAGATGAAACTCAAATCAAGATGTTTGCGGATTGGCCAATGTCATTGCACATGCAAAACGCGTGACAACGCACAATCGGCAAAAATCCTGACTGTCGTTATCCTGAAATGTTGTTAGGGAAGGTACGTTTTTTATTGGGGGG